GGACTGTAAGCCCATCGGAGCACGCGAGAGCAGCCATGCCCTTGCCCTAGGACGAACTCAGTTACCAGCGCTTCTGTAGCACGTGTGTGCAGCGCAAAGCGATGCGTCTGCTGGCACCTTTCACGGGTGTTTCCCCACTGCTGCCCACGGAAGTGAGAAAAGCAGCTGTGGGTTCCCGCCGGCAAGCCCACAACACACACACGTCTCCATAGTTGATACACCTGCGCACAACACCCATCCGGTGAGAACCGCAAGTTGCAGCGATCTGGAAAAGTGCAGTTTTATCCATGACGAATGAGGTACCACACGCGGCTGGGCCATGGGAAACACACCGTGCGGGTCCGAGACGCTGTGTTTTGGCTACAGCAAAATAAAAGGAATACCTCTGAAAGGCAACTTTGTACCTCTGTCGGGATTTGTTAGCAGAGGTGGGCACCGTCACGCCCCAATCACAGGACACAGAATTCCCTACGAGCACCTTCTAGCTTCAGCTCTACTCAACATCATAAAGGGAATACTCCCGTCGAGAGGCCAATCACAGCATTCCGACGTTTCCTTTTGCGCCGCCAAATTACATCTACAAAACTGCAGCTCAAGCCCAGGGCCAGTAGCGGGAAATAATAGTGATGTTGTTGTTTCTCCTAAGCCACAAGTCAGTTCCTCAGAGAATAACAGTAACAGAATACTAACAGAATCCACCTCTTTTTAGCTCCCTTTCAGACTTCTAAGGAAAAGAAACTACTGTGCTGGAAAGCAAAGGTGACCTTAGTTCTGTAAATGACCTTTCAGGTAGTGAACTTGAGTTAAATCACGAAACACACTGACTCGGTTTTGGGATTACAGCTCTTCCTCACCCCGACTTACTTTATTAAAATTAAATAGAAGGAAGTCTGTGTCCTAGGTGAAAGTGTATTTGAAAATTTGGTTACAGCTGTTGATAGGAAACACCGGTAAGCTGAAGTATTTGTGAGACTGCGTCACAAAGGATACAGTAATAAAGACCAGACAGGAATAAACAGCGGTTTGACTTCTGGCCCATTGTCCTCACCCGTGGAAGTACATCTTTCCTCACTGTACAGAAGGGTTCACAAGATAAAGTGTTGTACAAATATTTAAATTAAATAATTTACATACCTTTCTTAAAGCACCTCTGTAGTATAATTTAGTGAAAGTTTATATCTCGGGAGTATATTATTGTATTTTACAAATTGAAACATGAAGAATTATATTAAATTTAAAAAGTATCTAACACTATCAATAATCTTAGCTCAAACCCACACACAATTTAAATCTCTAGTAGAAGAAGGATAATAAAGCTGATGAAACCTAGATTTAAAAAAAATTAAATCCAATGATGAAAAAAGCACTTGAGCTAGCAGCAGGCGCCAGCGACGACACTACCCCTGACATTTCAGCACCTGGGAACGGCTCAGAGCTTTCAGGGAAGGACCATTACTTCCAAGACCTCAGGCTTCAGCAGTACCAAGGCAGCCGCGTTGGTTCACTGTAGCTGCAGATTTTCACCTGTGTCACGAGGATGCTTTTAAGGAGGGACAGAGCAGCTAGAGCGTGCTCTTCTCCAACTGCCTTGTCTGAGGTGGCGCCTAAGTCGCCCAGGCTTCCCGTCAGGAGGAAACTGGAATCTAAGAGTACGTGACCCAGCCCTCGTGATAAATACATCTCCCCAGTTTTAGCGGTTCGAATAAACAAACAAATGTTTAGATGCTTACTGTAAGCTCTTTGACTTGCAGACTTGTGCTCACTCTCTCAGGAGGACGGGCTTAGTGCAACTGCTGGTACTTCCCAGACCCGGGCGGGCCAGGAATAATGCAAAATTACGCTTTTTTGGCAACACTTCAGCTTTCTAGGAGTCGGCTACAACCAAAGCGCAAAGGCACGCAGAAAGGGTGATCCAGTTAAAAAGAAATTTTTCCAAAATGTGAAGAGAGATTCCATTTTGGTAAGTGGAAAACATTCCTCTCTACTGCCTGTCAATTTGTGATTAAAAGTGGGGTTCTGCAATTTAAAAAGGGGCAGCGTAATC